CGCCGCGGTAAGGGGGTGCCGGGCGGCCGCGGAGTGCTGCCGCTCACGGAAAATAAGTAAAATAATAAATCGCGCGTTGAGCGCGGGAACTGCTTGATCTTAATCTCTTTCGTTTCTGAATGTATGAAAAACGCATTCTTTCTCTGAACGCTTTAAATGTGCTTCTTAGTTATGAAAAGAGGTAACTGCTATGGTGTTCATAATTTAGGTTTCTTCCAGTCAAGTTCACCTCATATTAAAGCTTTAAGGATTGAATCTCAGATTTCTGCGTCAGCAGAGAGTGCTGTTGAGTTCAGGAAATTGGGAATCGGCACCTTCTCGAGCGCCAACGTTGGGGGTTTAAATGGCCAGAGAGTTGTTAAAGCTTCACCTTACAGCTGTGGCTGATGGAACAACGTTTGTTTGACGTTACTTTCCTTAAACGTTAGTTTATTTCTGTATAGGAGAAACAGGGTGCCATGTAGTTGATGTGACGTAATGCAGTCACATCTGTCAGTCCACCTTGAAGCATAGATTATCTATTACATTCTTTACTCCTTTTTAATTTCAGATGTTCAGGCTTTGAGGAACGCTTATGAGCTCATCAAATCAGCCAGTCAAGGAAAATCTGCACTTGATTCATCAGATCACTTCAGCACCGACTTATATGTTTTATGTGCCGAACAAGCATTTCAGGTTTGCAACTCAGGCAGTTTATCTGTATTGAATAAAAACATTTATATGACACATTGTATTTACAGTTGTCAAAGTTACTACTTAAAAATATTCCTAGAGTACCTGTGAAAAATATGACACTCTTCTGGTTTTGGAGAGCAATTATTTAAACATGCATTTTCAGTTAAAACTTGGCCTCTAAATTGTCACTTATTTCTAATTAGTCAGCAAACTGTGGTTTGTGAAGTTTGTAGTTAGACCAAACTGGGCAAGGTATACCATAATAATATAAAATAGCTTGCCATGCCTGTTTTTTCTTGTTCTGGAAAACTAACGTTAGCAATTTGGTTGTGACTGAAGAAAATGTGTTTGTGAACAGTCCCTACTAGGCAAAAGGAGAAAAGGTGACATTGTAATTGTGGAAGGTTGTTGCTAATTGAGCTGACTTCTATGAAATGTGGTAGAGGTTCTTAATTTTGAAGTATTTTTTAGTTTTCAGTGTATTGGTGCAAGTGATTTGGTTTCAAGCAGGCAGAGTTTCTAATAAAACAATTTTTTATTTCCAGGCTGCATGCCACTCAAATTCTAGCTGTTGTCTGAAAATTGAGGTGCAGCGCTGACATCCATACAAAATCTTGCGGGCTAATATCTGTCCTTTTAAAAAGAAATTCTACTAAGAATTTTGCCTTTATGTTAACAATTGTTAAGTTAATGGCTATTAAAAAAGGAAACATTTTTTTTTTTATGCTGTAAGGGGTTCTATGGCTGAGTGACTCAGGAGCTTTGTTAAATAAAGGAGCTATTTTTCTATACATTTGGAATGACAAAAGTCTAGCTTTAAATTTTAATAAATCTTAATGGGTTTGTACCAGATGTGATATGCAGCTTTATGGAGTATTGTTTGCATGCTGGTATGCATTTAAATGTTAGACTTTGAGTAGGCATGCATTTTTAAAAACTAACAATTCTTAATTAAGTATTTGTTGCATTTTTTAAATATCAAAATGCTTTTTTTTGGTCTTAGTTGGGATATCGGGAAATGAGCAGTGACTGTCTACAGATGTATTTTAAAGGAAGATTTCCTGTGAACCAGTTTCTTGGCAGAGCATATTTGTGCCAAGGCCAGTTGCACACTCCACTTCTCACAGATAATTTGGTGAGAAATTATGAAGGTTGACTTATATTGAGCCAGTTTTTAAGAGTGTTTCTTCCTAGCTTTTCATATGTTGCTTTCAGTCATTTAAAATACACAAGGGTAGTCAGCACTATGGGAAAAACCAAAGGAAAATAATATTAATGGGTAGTTTGGGAGTAAACAAAACTTCCCAGCTGAATTAGATTAATGTTGCAAATACTTTGGGGAGCAAAAAAAAACCAAACTTGCAAAGCTTTTCAGACAGTTGGTTGTTTTAAAGTCCACCTTTTCACTTTGTACATCAATATGATACTTTCAGACCAAATTTAACTGTAACTGGTAGAACAGTTACCAGTTTTATTCAGGATCACACTAGGCATTTCACAGATTCATGGGAAACGAAAGGGGCCCTCTGAGAGGCTGTAGAGTTCATTTCTCTTGTGTGGTAGCGTGCTTCCACCACTGTTCAGTTACCTTTCCATCTACTGCATTGGATGCAGCTTTTTGAAATGAGAGATGAAGCTTTCTGGTAGCAACTCAGCAGGATACTTCTGCTTCTAAAAGCTTCTGTGTGTTACTGGTTGGTGATAACCACGTCCATACACAATGAGCAGTTTTTACCTCCTCTGAATTTAAAATGGGGTAGGATATGTTTTCTGTCTTTAGTATTTCACTTATCCTCGTGCTGCGGTCAGTCATCTTTGACAATTTGTCAATGATATCTGACCCCCTAAAATGGCTTTAATGTTTCTGTTACTGTTTAATGTCTGTGTTATTGGTGTTCACAAATTTCCCTTGCGGATGTTGCTGTAGTTTCTTTGAGTAATGCGTCTGAATTAACTTTCAAGCTATGATCCCTTCCCTATTAAGTTATCTGTAATTTCTCTGCCTTCTCTTAATGCATATGCAGAACAACTGATCAGCGGTCCCTTTAAAACTTTGTACATATTTGAAAGGTATTTTCTAATGTCCAGTTAGCCTTTTATGTTTCTAAATTAAACAAACTATTCAGCAATGTTTTCTAGATCTCAGCCAAATTTTGCTATTTTCTTCTTGACTCTTGTTAACTTGTTAGAAGTTAAGAATCATCCCAGTGTGTGCAATACTAACTTGATTCCCTTGTGCTGTGTATTGTAATGTGCCTTTTAGGATACACTTTGTATCAGTTGTAAGGTTTTTTCACTGCTGTGTTCCTAGATCATTTATGACAATCGGAGTGGCACGTCATCTCCTCATTGATGACTAGTAATCATCATTCACTTAGAAAACATAACTTTGTCCTTACTTTGTTTCCATCCTAAGGAATCTTTGTTAGCTGATTAAGATGCTTATGGGCCAAGTGCAACTTGTCTACTTTAGTATCTAATACCTCTCGGGATCTTAATCCTGGTTTTCTGGTTATCTAGGCAGTTACCGCTCATTGCTCAGTATCCTTCTTATGCCAGTCCCAGAGTCCAGTAAATCAGTCATCGCTCTCTTGAAGTTTTCAGATATTCTGTTCTGTCTCACTGTACAGAGAGCCCTCTGGTGTCATCCCCTTCCTGCCCGTCCAGTTCCACCTCTGCTTTGCCATTTCCACTGCATCTTTCTCTTAGGCTTTCAATAACCCCTTTTTATGCCCCATCCATCTGCCTTATGCCCTCCCTTCGGGTATTTGTACGTACTGATGAGATCCCCCCTAAGCTGCGTTCTCCAGGCTGAACAGTCCCAGCTCTCTGAGCCCCTCCTCATATGAGAGATGCTCCGGTCCCTTCATCATCTTTGTGGCTCTTCGTTGGACTCTCTCTGCAGCGTCCATGTCTCTGTTGTACTGGGGAGCCCAGGACTGTGTTCAGTTCTCACCAGTGCTGAGTGGAGGGGAAGGATCACCTCCCTCCACCTGCTGGCAGTGCTCCTCCTAAGGCAGCCCAGGACACTGTTAGCTGCCTTTGCGGCAAGGACATGCTGCTGGCTTGTGTTCAGCTCAGTGTCCACCAGGACCCCCAGGTCCTCCTCTGAGAGCTGCTTCCCAGCTGCTTTAATGACAAAAAAAGAGCATGCCCGACACACCATTCGGTTGACAAATTCTTGTTGGATCTTTTCTGAAGAAAATAATACCTCAAATTTTTTAATGGGGACAAATCAATATTATTCCCCACTGCACCCCCCTCCCCACTCACCCCCACCCCCACTCCACCCCAGCTTTGCTCTTGGATGTTTCTGAGCTTTCTTTGCAGTTTTGGCACATTTCAGTCCCGATAATTAAGTTTGGCAGAAATGAAGGAACTTGAAAATATCTTAAAATTTGAAATCAGGAAAACATAGTAATAGGCAATGCTACTGACTTTTGCTTATTCTGTTTCTGTGGCAGCAACTTATCATGGCAGCGTGTTTTATTTGAGATTGGTCTGAAAATAAAAGTTACGAGATGTGAACATATTGAAATAGGAAAAATGTACTGATTTATAAAAGCCATGTTCCAATTGCATTAGCAATTTTTTTTGTTCTGTTATAGGAAGAGTTTGAAAAGTTTGTGCTGTTTTTTATGAAGGCAATAGATTTTGCCACCCATGATCAAAGGTAGGCCCAACTGAAAGGATTAACTCTTTAAATCTCAGGAAATGTTACTGAGTTGGTTTTTCATAGTAGTTTGTCTCCGATTTTCACTAGGTAGTCTGGAGTTGTGTTGTTTCGGGGTTTTTTTGCTTTTGTGGATTTTACTTCCATTTTGTCACTGCACTTCTGTAACTGCTGTGTGTCCTGCAACAGTATAAGAATACTGAACAGTCTTAAACAGATGGGATGAATCAACCTATTTAAGGCTGGTAGATATCTCTGAGCATTTCTTCTCCTCTTATATTTAGGCTTAGTAGAAGGAGAGCACCGTGTTAGCTTATTTTAAGTGGTTAATTACTGGGTAGAGTGTAGTTGCAAGAGTTATTGTATTCTTGTGCTGTACTTTTGTTCTCAGTTCTTAGTCAGGATTGGTTCTTGTCTAAACACATAGGAAAAGTTCCAATTTTTGCTTCTTAGAAGTGTCTTAAAATACTCTGTCTATAATTTTATGTTTATATAAGTCCATGAAATACGAAATTCTTGATTCTTGTTTTTCAGATATTATTTTTTGGTATATAATGCCTCAGTTCTTTATTGGCAACTTGTGAGGCCATATCTTAAGCCTGGATTCCGCTATTGGCTTATTCCCAGCCTTTCTCAGATTGTTAAAGCGTTAAACCAAACTGAAGAGCAAGACAATGAATGGAGAGCAGAACTCATGATGTAAGTTTCATTGTATTTTTTCATATGGACGTTCTGTAGTCCTCTCATACATGTGGTTGCCACCTGAGGTAGTCTTTAGTAATGTATATTTCATGGGTAATATTGTAGATAGATTTGTTGTGGAAAGCTTAATTCATAACTTTGTAAAGATATATGAGTGTACGCTTAACATACAAAGAGCTTCATTTTAATATTTACTTTGAGGTTAAAATTTTAGTGGCGGAGACAGTTAGGCCCTAGGTCCGATCTGAAGTATCCCAGTCATTTTGGCTGTAGTGTTTCCACCATTGCTTATATGCAGTCCTCTTAAGCGGGGAGAAAGACAAACTCCGTTTTTCTGTAAGAGCTATTTTCTTCAGGTAAAGAGACACAACCTATCCTGTCTAGAGATGTAGCATATACCTTAGGATTGCAAGGCAATGTGTGTGGGAAGGGACCTCGTGAGATGGGCAACCCAGCCTCCTGCTCCAGGCTGGATCAGCTGTGGGGTATCTTTATCTACTCAGGCCTGGAAGCTGTCAAGGATGGAGACCGCAGGGCCTCTCTGAGCTGAGCAGCTCTGCTTCACTGTCTTCATGGGGAGAAAGGTTTTCTTTATTACCACTTCAAACCTCTCTTGTTTCAGTGTACACCCATTGTCACTTGTCTTCCTGCCATGCACCTTAGTAGAGAGCCTGGGTCCATATTCTCGGTGACCTGCCTCCCTGTAGGCACATATCTCCGTGATCTGCACCTGTGCTCCTGTTTGAACAGACTACGATGCTGTTGGCCACCTGTGGTTCAGAGCACGCTGCTGGCTGGTGGTCAGGTGGTGGCTGTGCACCAGGACCACCGGGTCCTTTTCTGTAGGTGTGTTTTACGGAATTCTATTGAACGCTTTCACCAGGCACAAGGCCTGGGAGACCTTTCTGGTGAAGACTGAGGCAAAGGTGGCATCGAGTCTCAGCTCTCATCTACTAATTTAAAGATTGTAAGCAATACAGGAATTTAGGATGGTACTATTGTACATATTTGCATTATTACCAGTTATTAATTGGTAATGAATGGTGTATCAATATCAATGTATTACCATTCATACATTTCCTGAGTAAAGCTGGAGGATAAACCTTGTGATATCTCTACTGAGAGATACAGTTTTATGTGCAAAATGAAGAGTGTCCGTGTAATTTTTCAAGGTCAGACAGCCTTTTCTCAGAGATGTTTTGGTCTGCTGTTCTACAGACCATTTCCAGTTCCTGTTACACTTCTGCCACAGTTTTTTCCTTTCTCTTTGTGAACTTTTCTATTTCTTTGGTCTATGACTGATGGTTTATTGCTATGCAGCATTTTCTTTATAAGCTGAAACTGGAGGGAAATAAAAAATTAAGTAACAAAACATTGGAAAGGGTATGCTAAAGATTGTCCGGAACACGATGCAAGAAGTTGTTTTTTTTAATACCAAACATGATGAGAAGTAGCAAGTGCACACAATATGTTTGTGTTATGAAGCTAATGGTGGCATTTATTTTTTTCTTACCTTTGTGTTTATTTTTTGAATATTTTTTGTTGTTGTTAATTTACTTCATGGAATCACAGGCTCTTTTTCAGTTACATCAGATAAAGTATTGAAAATCCAGTAGATAGATTGCAGTTCCCAACATGAATAGTTTCCTTTTGCTAGATGGCTTTGAAATACTAACCTTTCCAGTAGTTAAGGGAGAATCACAGAATCACAGAATGGTTAGGGTTGGAAGGGACCTCTGGAGATCATCTAGTCCAACCCCCCCGCCAGAGCAGGGTCACCTACAACAGGTTGCACAGGACAGCGTCCAGGCGGGTTTTGAATGTCTCCAGAGTGGGAGACTCCACAACCTCTCTGGGCAGCCTGTTCCAGTGCTCCACTACCCTCAAAGTAAAGAAGTTCCTTCTCATGTTAAGATGGAACTTCCTATGTTCAAGTTTATGCCCATTACCCCTCGTCCTATCACTGGGCGCCACTGAAAAAAGACTGCTCCCATCCCCCTGGCATCCTCCCTTTAAGTATTTGTAAGTATTAATAAGATCCCCCCTCAATCTTCTTTTCTTTAGACGAAAGAGACCCAAGTCCCTAAGCCTTTC